CGCCCCCCGGCTCGGCCTCCTTCGCATCCCCGCCGTACGTGCCCAGAGCTGCAAGCGCGACCCGCACGCCCCGCAGTCAGACCCGCACGAAACTTCAGTCAGCCGTTTCGCTCCCCAGGAGACGGGTGAAACGTAACGTGGAAGGGTAATTTGCACACGAGCATTCATTACTGTTGTTGTTGCTGTTGTTACGATTTTTAAGTGCTTGCTCTTCACTCTTCTCGGGTTCGCTGCAAGTTGCCTATGTTTTGGTGTTGCTCGTTTCCCGTCCCTCTGTCTCCCCCTGACCAGCGTTGTGCGAATCCCTGCGTTCTGACTTTGTCTTGATAGCTTTCTGTGAAACCCCAACGCCTGCTCCAAGAAGCAGACATTTTGGGAAGATTCTTCACGAGAAAGGACGATTTATTATTATTACTATTACTCTGTTAAGGAAAGGAACAACCGAAAACGAATGCCTTCCCTCCCCTCCCCCGCAACCCCCAGAAAGCAATCCACCTTTCACATCCCCGTTTTACACAGAAAGATGCATGAGCTGAATGGATGCAGACTGAAATCTATCACTGCTTAAGTTTCCTGTGTCAGACGCAACCCGATAGTACCGGGAACATACACAAAATTGTGCAATACTGACATCTAAGTATGTCATAATCCTCTCTCTCTTCCTCAGCAGTATCATTACACCAGGTTAATTACATTAGTCACCTCCTGGTTCTATACATGTAGCTGTTCATTAATGCAACAATCATAAAGAAAAGAAATAATCTAATTCTTGATGCTACCGATTTTGTTTCTCTCTGATCGGATTCATTGTTCAGTGAAAAGGAGACCAGAGGAGCTGCTTTAGGTTCACTGCTGTTCTGTGCGGGGCAGCGGGGCTGAGGGAAGGGGTGCTGGGAAGTGGAACCAGTTGGAAGGTTTCAGCCACATTGCAATTTCATAACTCCATTTATTTCTCCTCCTTTCTCCTTCTCTGGGCGCAGGCTGGGGCTGCCCTTTCAGGACATTCTCCCCCAGGACTGGTGGACATGAAGGGCTCTAGAGCAAGCAGTGGGGGGGCACATCATTTCCCCAATTTGGAGGGTGCAGACCAGGCTGCCCTCACAGCTGAGACCGAGATAGGGGTGTTTACCAGCAAGCACTCATGGTGTCTGGCATCAGCCATATGCAGATCACTAAAGGCCCTGGGGGAGGCAGGAGAAGGGATAGAGGGAGGGGTGATAGGAGACAGCGCAGGTTTAGACCACTGACATGTTGTTGGGAAACAACCAGAGTCCCTAGCCTCACCTGGGGAACTCCTGGCCTTGCCACAGGAGCTGAGGGTCTCTTCCTGCACTCACTGAGCTGCCCAAGATCTGAGATGGGCAAGGGAGAAGGTGGCCCCAATGCACCTTTAGCACTCTGAGTACAGCCTGCTGCAAGAGTGCAGAGGTTGGTAGCTGTGGACAGGCTCTCTGAACAGTTGTTCTTGGTTCAAAGGAATTTGAGAAGCAGAGAGATGCAGAGAACACCCGTAAGTTGGTAGGAGATTATGGCTCTACAGGGATGGCCTGCAGTGAGGAGGAGGCCCTGTGAGGCTCTTAACTGGGGGAACTAGAGAAGACCACTTGAGGACCTCTCCGCTTCTGAGACATTTTCACTGAAAGGAGGAAGGGGCCTTGAAGAGGGACAGCATAAGGGAGGAATAAGTAATTCTTGGGACTGTGAGCCATTTTCTTTTTGTGTTGGTGGTTGTGCCCCTCCAACCCCACCCCAGTATTCAAGTCTTCTCATTCTTCAAAGGAGGGTAGAAAAGCTGGGCCAGGAGCCTGAAAGACTCTGAAGAGGAAAAATCTTCAGCTGGCTATTCTGGCACTCAAACCCATCAGGCACCAACATCACATGTGTGGATGGGAAAGGCACTCTGGAAAGCTGTGGAGCTCATAGCTCCATGGAAGGTGGGCTCCTCAGTTACCCTGTACTCTCGAAAAAGTGTAGCACAGCTCTTCTAGTAACGCCACACAAGCAACCTGGCTGGAGTGGAAGCAAAAAGGTCTCAGGCCCTTTGAAAGCTCGCCCATGCTTACGCAGCAGGGTCGTTCAAAGAGGAGAGGGAGAGAAGGGAGGATGCTAGGTGTTTTCACTTAGCGCTCACCTGTGTAGCCCATGTGGTTAAGTGTTTATTTTACTGCTACAAATGGTCGTGCTGCTTTGGGTCAAGGGTATGCTGGGTTGCAGAGACAGGGGTTGTTTCTGGGTTGAGGAGCTTGCTTCTGTTGGTATCTGAGTCTAGTGAGACTAGCCGGGTGAGCAAGCAGTCACTGCAGAGGTTGTGGATTTGGGCTTGCAGGGGACCCCCACACTGTGAGAAATTACAGATTTCATCTACAACAAGAAAAATATTGGTGAAATGTCAGGATTACTTATCTTCACATTTAACAAATCCAATCACATGCAGAGGATGAAGCAGCAGCTGGGACAAAACAGAGACCCTCAAACCAATCCAGAACTGTTGCCTTTACTACATATTTCTACAGCTTTGACAAGTTTGGTTTGAACTGACTACAGCAACAGGAGAGGGGCATGTTCTCCCCAAAGAAACTGTCAGTGTAAGAAGGCCAGGTTTGCAGGGTGGTGAGTTCTTTAATCTCTGGCTGAGAAGAGTGAGACCTATGAGGGCTCAGCACATCTCAGGATCTGGACTAAACACGTCTTCCTGCCTCGCACTTCCCAGTTTCCAGAAATAATTCTCTTCCTGCTACCCTACTTATATACTCCTAGACAATTCACAATAATCCCTCTACAGTTCTAAATGCCACAGGAGAAGAATGGAACAAAAGCAATGCAAATGCCAGAATGTCCTGTGTGACTGCTTGTGCTGTGGCTAGATGCTGTGCTGAGATTTCATCCTTCCTACAAAGAATCATTAAAAATGATAATACAAAACAAGAATACAGAATAAAAACACTGTGGCAGATTTTTACAACACTCGCATCTTACTGAGTAGTGCAACACAGAATGACATCTATAGAAGAGTTAGGAGAGAGAAATTAATAGTCTGGAGGAAATAGAGAGATTTTAAATTACATTTTAAATTACTTGAAATGAGAAGCTGATGAGACAGGGAGCTGCAGGAAGTCTGCTTCCAATGGCAAACCAAGAGTGCTGCTATTTGTGGAGAGAAGGGGCAGTGCTGTAGGAAAAAAAGGGGCACAAGAAAGATGCAGGAAGGGAGATGAAGGGCACGAAGTCGGAAGCAACTCCATGGGATGGTAATGGAACTGAACAGAGTGTGTGCGCATTGAGTGCAGCAGTGGAGCTTTTCAGCATATAGGACAAAATCAGACAGTGATAGTATATGAAAACTGGTATCTAGGAATCTTCATCCTGGGGAGGCCAGCTCAGAAGGAGCTGCTGTAATGAGATGTAAAAGAGATGGAGTTGATGCAGCTGTATTCGCAGGCGGAGCAGAGGTGTTAATAGACAGATGCACCAGCAGAGGAGATGTTAGGAAAAATTAATTGGGGTTAGGGTGATGATTACAGAAGTGGAAGCCAATGGGGCAGACAAGATAGAAGTGAGATATGATGCAGAAAGAGAATTCATATTTAAGAGATTTCACTGGAGAAAGTTGAAAAAAGTCATATATCTGTATGGTTAGACAAGCAGAGGGGGTGATCAGAGCAGTCATCACTGGCATCCAAAGCTGAGGGTCCCAAAGCACTTAAGACATTATTCACATCATATCTGCATGCTGGTGGTTTTCTAGACCAATTTAACAAACTAGTAAACTGAGGAAAGAAAATTTGTGGTTTTGCCAGAGGATCACAGGTGGAGATGATGGAGATGAAGGTGGAGATGGAGATGAGATAAAGGTAGAGATAGGGAGATAAATACACAGGGGAAAAGCCTCAAGGTCCTCTGTTCTTATCTTCAGGTTCATATAACTTGAGTATCAACATAAAAGGCAGTTTAAACATCAAATATTCTAGTACTACAGGAGACTCATCTCCAGTGTAACACTGTGACTGGAAAGGAAGAGAAAAGAAGGGACACACAAGGTACAGAGGTCTAGCAATTAAAATTAGTAGGTTTCCATGCAAAAGTGGTGCTGGTGCTGTCCTGAGAGTGCATTAAAAACTCCTGTGTTAGACAGGAGTGGAACTCTGGCAGGGACCAAGTATGAGGTTATAAGGCTGCAGTACATAACTCCCTCAGTTTCTGACCTATATCCTC